TTTTCATCTCTGTGCAGCAATTAAGTTTCTCCACCAGAGATCGTGACCAATAAGCACCACAAACTTTAAACTGTATTCTTCTCTTGTTCAGTACACCTCAAAGTTTGTTGAATTGGGGAATATTCATTTATTCATGTTCTCACCTGGGCATCTAAATTTAGACACATTTAATTGGTTACAGGGAGAAGTATAGTGAGAGCAAGCTTACTGTGTAAAGGATTGAATGTGCAGCATTTAGGTTTCAAGGAGATGCTTCAAAGACCAGCCTAGCCAAGAATTTAGCATCTTGGTTATTAACTAAAAATTGAAATCCCAAACACAGGATTAACGTTATTAGTTAGAATAAGCAAATAAATGAATGAAGTGACCTATTATAAGGATTATGCTTGAATTTTAAAATAAAATGATCTTTCGTTCTTGTCCATCCCCTTGGTTTTATTATTCGGAGACTGCAGGGCAGGTATTCAACAGGTACTCCCTTAAAAAGGTTTGATTACCATATCGATCACTATAACTGTTTAGGCTTAGTCCTGAAAGCTATGCATTCCTTTATTAGCTCTAATCAGCATTCTTTCTGAGTGCTATTATGCTGCCTTGTAAACAACATTGTTTTGCAACCTTAAAGTCAGTAATTCCGTAGAAATTAAATTGGGTTTACAGTAAATCCATGATTACCATATAATCTGTAGAGTCTAAATAATGATGTACTTAGCTGTAGAATTGCATGTAAAACGCAGAGTGATGATTACATGGCTATTTGGGGCCTAGGAAAGAAAGGGATGCCAAATGTTTTGATGGTTGAAGAACTGAGAAATCTTTTTGTTTTTAACATCTCATTTTAATTATGATCTTCAACCAACTTGATACTACCCTAGCTGCCTTAAAAATGGCCTTAAAATCTACTGTTAAATCTTATGCCTGACATCATGTGTTGGGAGTTTGTTTTAATAAATGAAGACTTGTTAAAAATAGAAAATCCATCTGAATTAAAGTGACAATAGAAAAAATGAAGCAGACTTGCCTTTAGCAAATAATCTGTCTCTGTTTTAAGGGAGTCTTTCATGAGAGTATTTGGTTGAAGCTTAAGCAATGTTTCTGGACAAAAGGACAACTAGTCCAATGGGCATTTCACCCAAGGGCTCAGGCCTTCCAGTCTCTTTCAAGGGCTCAGCCCCGGCTAGAACTGCTCTTAATTACTTTCAGTGAAATCAATGCCTGTTGCTCTCCTAATACAGCCCAAGCTCTGAGCCATAGCAATCTTTGAACCTCACAGTCAGAATGGCCCGTGGAGATACCTACAGAGGTCATACGATTGGTGAAAGCCACTCATTACTTCATGGCAGAGTTAAGCCTAAAACTCACGTGTTTCACCTCCTACTCCAGAGATCTTCCCACTACATTAAGCCCTGCAAAGAAACCCACGATGAGTTAGACACAGACCCCACCCTTAAGGAGCTCAAAATCTAAACGAGAAGATGAGACAATAAAAAGGGACAGCATTGTAACTCAAGAGCAAGGAAGCTATCACAGCGCTGGCATTGTGCAGTGGTGAGGAGCAGGGGACTGGGAATTCAATAGCCCAGAGCTTATGCCAACTCCACCATTTCTTAGCTGTGAACCTTCAGCAAGACACTAATTCTAAGCCTTCTCATTATTTTTTTCCTGTAAAATTATCAAATAGGAATAAAGTGTGATTATCTATGTAAGTCAAATTCTTAGCACAGCGGCTAGTACACGGGAAGAATTCAATGACTGTTAATTATTATGAATAGAGGATGGAAAGAGACTACCCAGTTATTTCAACCAGGAAAGACTGTGAAGAGAAGGCATTTGTGAAGCATGAGGAAGAATAACCCTGGACCTCAGGGAAAAGAAAGCGAGAGGGTAGAATCCTCAGCAGAACTGGACTGCGTAAAGATGGAAAAACAATGAGGAGAAAAAATGAGGCTCATAGGCAGGGCATGCTGCATCATCATTTGGGCTGAATTCAGACTTACGGAGTAATAACAATTGCGAGAATATTCTGTGGGCTCACCAGGACCAAGCTGATAGAGAAATGGGAGGCCACAATGGCGAGTAGGTAGTGAGAGCTTTGTAAGAGGGAGTCTTGAGTCCCAGGCTGTGGGTGTTGTATGTTGGGGGATCCCTGAAAACTTCAAACAGCGGAGGTGTGGTGTAATTGGACCTGGACTTTTAAAGAATGATTCTGGCTGCGGTGGGAAGGATGCACTGCAAAAGGGAAGAATATTTTGCAGCCAGACCAGAGAAAATTCCACCATGAGAGTTCAACTAGTGGAGACCAAAGCCTGAGCTAGCTAGTGGTCAGGATAACAAAACAGGATGTAATGGACTGAAATAAGAAATATGGTATGTTGTTAGCCTCCCAGGGCTGCCTTAGCAAAGTACCGTGAGCCAGGTGGCTTAAAACAACAACAATGTGTTTTCTCCTAATTCTGAGGGTAGTAGGCCAAAGTCAAGGTGTCAGTGGGGCCATGCTCCCTCTGAAGGTTCTGGAGAAGAATTCTTCCATGCCTCTTTCCTAGTTTCTGGCTGTTGTCAGCAATCCTTGGTGTTCCTTAGCTTGTAGCTTGCATCACTAACAATCCTTGCCTCCATCTTCACATGGCCTTCTTCCCTGTGTATCTGTGTCTCTGTGCCCCAATCTCCATCTCCTTTCTCTTATAAAGATGCCATTCGTTGGATTTAGGGCCCACCCTACTCCAGTATGACCTTTCTTTACTTAATTACATCAGCAAAGTTTCTATTTCCAAATAAGGCCACAGTCACAGGTACTGGAGTTAGGACTTGAATATTTCAATCCACTACATATGGCATCCACAAACTTGAAAAATGCTAAGATATGGGGAGCCAGAGAGGGATACCTTCCAACCCGCTGCTTCCAAGAATTTTTCTAGTCAAAGGAATAAAAGAGGAAGTAGTCCCCTTTGGTCCTTGAGTTGGGTCAGTTGTGCTCATTGATCGGGCCAGACATGAGCAGCCTTCTATAGGCTATCCTTCACTGAGGTCAAGCTGATGTGGATATTCCTGCTCTGACAGCCTCCCTGGCTCTCAGCTGAGGGAGGGAAGTCCTCTTGAGGCAGACGATTGACCCCTAGGGAAAGAAGAGGCTGTGGAGCCAGTCAAACTGAATGCCAGGATGCTCCTTTACAGAGGTGTGAACCGTAGTGTTCTAATCTGTAAAATGGGCATTATGAGTTGATGTGACAGTTAAGTGCTCTTATTCTGCTGCTTACCACATACTTAAACATTTGATAAATGACCTGGTGCCACTATAATGATTATTATTGCTTTGTGTAATAATAGGCATCTTTGGATGATTGTTGCTTTCCTTACTCTGCCTCCCAGTCTGTGTGGTGACTTGACTTTACTCTCCTGCATTGATATGTGTGGGGAACCCTGGCACATTGTTACCGGCAAGCCAATTACTTTGAATGATTGTCTTAAGGCCATAGTCCAAGGTAAAAAGAAGACATAGATCCCTTAACCCTTAGGTCGTTTCATGACCCCAACAAAGACTCCGTATTTCCCTTTTCCTTTCAATCTAAGAAAGTTTTATAAGTAAAATATCTAAACCACTGGGCATATTTTTAAAACTCATAGATCAAACCCCATCGTGACAAACTCCAGGGGACACTTGAAATGCATTTGTTGTACTGAAATTCTGTTGTGCTAAATGTTGTTTGAAACCTAAGCCGTGGCTGAGAAATATTTTCCTGAATAGATTTTTATAAAAGCAGCTGCTGTAACAGAGGGATGTTCCGTGAGCATCGCATCAAAGGATCTCATTGCTCCCTCCTCCCACCTGGTATATTTCTCAGTGTGATTCATAAGCATTTACTTTTAAAAGCCACCTGGAGACAGTGTCCCTGACAACTACGAAAGCTTTAGTTAGCTCAGTAGGTTGGTTGGTGCTTCTCAAGGGCAGAGGATGCCGATTATCATTCAGTCCCTCCCCAGTACTTTGACGGTAACCAAAAAAATATTTGATAAATGAATGAAAAACTAAATGACTAAATGCTGAATTCATTAGCATCAAATTAAAAGAATCCGCATGAGACTGCACCCCATATCTGTTTATTTATAAACACTCACCAAAAGTATTTTATATATACTTAGTATCAAAGCAAAATTAGGGTCTCAGAAGGGCAGAACGAGCTCAGTGAATCATCTGAGTACCACCTCCAGGCCAATCAAGATATTGTTTCTAATTAGCATTCCTACAAGTGGTTAATCTTTCCCCTATGCTTGACTTGCAAGCACTCAGTGCAAAATTTGTTCCTCTCTTTGAGACCATCTTAATAATCGTTTCCCATCTGAATCTTGGAACCAGAATCCCTCACTGATGGGTACAAATGAGGGAGAAATATGTCAGCACACATGGGCACTGGCTCATGGCAATGAAGATTTATTTGATCCAGTCAGCCAAGTGATCACCAGAAGCAAGTAATCAAGAGAATGAAATTCCAGGGTGGGTTCAGTCAGTACCTCTTTTGTTCAACAGCATGCCTCCGCCTCATCCATACAGAGCTTGGAGTCCAGGGAATAGTGCATTTGTTAACTCAAATCTTGCTTGAAGATGTTGACCCTGAAAATATTGTGACTTTGGAACTCAAGTTTTGTTCTTAAATGACTTTAAACTTTTGTTTGTTGCTCAGTCGATGTCATTGGGATTTATTTGGCTGCTGTTTCTGAGTTGCTATTTGAAAAGAGCAGTACCATATGCAGCACATGCATATTCAGTGGTGCAGTTCTTTTTCTAGGGGGGAGGGGGTAGTGCCAGGACTCATGGCTCACAATATGAATTTGCATCCCACTTTGCATAAATTTGCATGTAGACTTCATAAGCCTCTAATTTCAAGTATGTAAAATGAAATGAGTCAATGCAATCTACTGCAATTGTTTTCCAAGGCATTAATCACATGAAATACATACCAGCTTTCCTTAACCAATTAATTTAATCACACCCAAGGTTAGGAGAGAAAGGGAAGTGGTGAATAACTGCTACTAAGTGCCTGGTCTAGGGCTGGAAGGATATATACAGGCTCAACACTGCCCCAGTATGTCTTCTTTCCAGCCCCCATGTCTCCTGTGGAAGATTATATTATGCTCTTCCCAGTATTTCATTTTCTGTTCTTTCAGTGACCCTTTCTGCAGGAGGATTCTACATCTCTACCCTGTTGAGCTCAGGAGTGGGGATAAGACTTAACTCTGACCAACGAAATGTGGGCAGAAGTGATGCCTGTCCCCTCAAACCAGAAGCTTTAAGAGCCAGCACATGGTTCAATATCTCCTTTTCTCTGCTGTGGTATAAGCCATGTTTCAAACAGAGACTGCTCCATTAATTTGAATCCCAGGATGAAGATGAGGGTGTTATAAGCTGCTGACATTTTCAGGTCATTTCTTGCTGCAGCACATCCTAGCCTATTCTGACTAATGATGCATTTCCTGATTTTGCAACGAACTATAATTTGGCTTCAGAGGTTTGTGTTAGTTTTGTAAGAACATGTACATGGCATTGGGGAAGAGATAAAAAATTGAAAGATATGGTCCATGTGACTAATAAACATATGAAGCAATTGGGGAAATAATCTGTACATTTAAGATCAATTAAATGTCACCACAATGAAGAATAATACAATATGTATTATATCCTCCCTATTGAGAGAGATGGAATAGACTATTTAGATTTCTTAAGACTGGCAAATCCACACAAATTTGGTCTGTACTTGAGAGACGTGCCAACTTACTTTTGTAATGCCTTGGAATCCTTCATATTCCATTATGAGGAAAGTCCCAATTAAGTTCTAAATTTTAAACATCTTTCCTCACTACCTTCCAATCTACTATTAAGAGTAGAGGAACTTGAAACCAAGGAGGGTGTGAAGCAAACATTCAAACAATGAAACCTTAAATCCTAAATCTGAGAAACCAGAGCTTTCTGCATTTCCAAAGTGCAAAAATGTGTGGTGGAACCTGTAAATAATATAGGAATACAGATTATAGAAACACAGGGTACAACTTTCCTTCCAGCCAACCAAATCTGATGGCTTTTCTTCTATTTCCCCACAATGCTGTCCTACAGATTCCAGTGTTGAGCAGCCTGACCCTGACCTTAAGAATTCAGAAAGTCAAGAGAAGAAGAAATATACAATACTCAAGATTATTTTTACTCCCATAAGGAAAAGGTTAGCAATATATATATAAGACAACTTCCAACAGAGATGAAGGAATCAGAAATCACAACGTTTGGTTTCTTATGCTTTCCCAAGACACGTAGCCAAGAAATGGTCATGTGTTTTATAAACTATTCTTCACTAAGTACATTATTATTTATGCTCTCTGGTTTACACGGTGATCATCCTTGAATTAAATCTACCTCCTCTTCAGTATGGGCTCTACATAATTAGTACTTGGAATGTTACTTAAGAACTTTAACAGACCTGTAGAAGAATTAATTTTCCTTAAAGAAAGAAAAAATATTTACTGAAGTTTTACACTGTAAAACAAACCCCAAGACAAGAAAATAAACATTTAGAGTGCCAAAATACAGGGAAAATAAAATAGAGGGATAGTGGTCTGTCAAAGGATTGGAGATTTCTTTTACTTCCCCCAATTGCTCAGAAGTTCCCTTGCATCTCTGATGCTCTTTGGGCAAAGACATCTTCCAGCACAGTGAGACCCTCCTGGTGGTTCTTAGATTATAGAAGCCACAAGAATGATTTTTCTTAACTGAATCAATTTCTTGCCCATAGCCAGAAACAGTATGATTAGAAAACTGGTTTTGAAAATCATTCTCTGGATTCTTTCTCATCTCAGAAGTTTCAGAATCAGTCATAAGTAGAGTTTAACTTTTAAAACTGGCTTCATTCCTAGAGTAATAAACACCTGTTAACCTAGCTGTTGAATGAAAACTGGTCCTTGGGTTGGAGGCATTTAAATCAGAGAAGGGTGAAGTAGGGACATGATATAGAATACAGTCTTTCCAAATGAGTGTTTCTTTAAAAAAAATAATAGGTCTTGTGATGAGATTGTGTTCTGCAATCAAGAGGACCCTGTCTCCACAAAGATTGTTCCTGAGAGTATTCCATTAATTCTGTAGTTCTAAACTTTCCTTCAAGAAGACAGAGACTTTCCTATATCTGTCCTTTAAATCCATTAATTGTCTCAACCTTGGCCACACAGTGGTATGAATAGGAACTGTCTGATCTTTAATAGGAGGGAAGGAGAGGTTTATGGGTTATAGTTAATTTGAGATTTACCTTGTTTTCTTTTTGGCTAGGTTGGAACACACAGTCTCCAATCTCATCCTCTTCCAGAAGTTTCTTCAGTTCAATATTTCTATTTGAGATTCCAGATTCTAACCAGAGCAGGACTTTACTCAGATTCAGGGAGGAAAGAGTTAGACAGAAATGTTGCCTTGAGACTGAGAAAGAATGCCAAATTACTCAAGTCTGTGGATACGACGCTCCCAGTCCCTTGGATCAATCAACCCAGTCTTCCTCATTCCCCCATGTGTAGAATTTTCCCACTGTTCCTTATGTCTTTCAAGATTTTCTTGTAGCTTTGCAGTCAAGTTGGTGGTAATTTTCCACCGGGTTGAAAGGAAGCTTTAGATATGACCTCTGATCTCAATGTCACCATAATTTAGCCATCCCTAATATGCCAGTTCTTTGGAATGCCAACTTTTATTACTATAATAATTCTCACATTATTTATAAATAATATAGTGCCATAAATACTGACCTTCAGGGCCAGCACAATATCTTTTTAATCAGGCTTTTGCCTGGTTGAGGTAAGAGTCCAACTCTTTACAACATTTTGTTGCAGATAGCTATGTCAAATTTTCTAAAAATATCTGGGACATTTAGGGACGCAGGTATTGTGCAGCCATAAAAGTGACATTGTAGGGCCTAGAAACAAGCACAGTAGAACCCCATTGTGACCCTGCTGTTCTATGGCAAGGAAAATCCCTATCAGAGAGATTTTGCACAAAGATAAGAGAGCTACATACATCAGGGTCCTATATTGACAAAGGAGATTATTTCTAGGGAGCTACTAATTTGACCCTCCAGGAGAACAAAACCCATGCCGCTTTTAAAGAGGTACTGCTTTACCTTGTTTTTTCCTGCAGAGGAGGTGAAGTTATTTCCCCATTAACAAAAGAAAACAAGCAAATAAATGAACTTAAGATTTAAAAACATGGCTATCTCTGATCCTGGGACAAAACAGAAAATATAAATAATCCTGGTTACAGGGAAACTCTCTATTCAGAGAAAAGAAATTGTGGCTCAGTTGGGGTGTCAGCAGGAGACAGAATTAAACACACATGGTTAAGTTGGAGAGGTTTTAATGAAAGGACTATTTGCTTTAAGAATGGCAGGTTAAGAAGACCAAGGAAAAAGGTTGAGGCAACCAGAGTTTAGCCATAGTAGAAAGTCATTATTGCTCCTATGGTATGAAGGGGCAAAAGAAAGACACAGTGTTATTGAAGTCCAGGGAGAGAGGTACCTATGGAGAAGGGGACAATATCTATAGTAACAAAAGGGGATAGACATCACCATAACCATAACCTGGAACAGGAAGTGAGAAGGAAAGAAACGCTCCAACTTCTCTGTCCTCCCATCCTGAAATCTTCTGCTAGTGTCTTTCACTGGTAAACCCAATGAGAAGACGAGTTCAAGGGAGTCTGGAGGGTGTGGTCCATAGATTCAGGCTCAAAGAGTCCAGAGGAGGGCAGATGATGAATCAGGCAGCGGTGGGGGGGCAGAAGAAGAAGAGCCAGTGTGTTGAGACAGCCTATTGTCCACCAAATATTCTTTCTCCTACCTTCAGTAGGATTCCATTTTGGTTTTAGGCAACCCTGAGGTCTACACTGGCAAAGAACAATGGAAAAATGACACCCCTGCTTGTCAAGGGTCTAAGTATTTGCTATATCTCCAAGTGTGCTTCACCTTAACTTGCCTACCTTTGTTTAACATGAAATCACAAAATTATTCTTTTTCCTACTAAGTCCCCCTTTTATGCCCTTTCCTTATTCCACTGTTCTGTTTCTCTCCCCCATGCTTGCTCATCCAAACTTATGCTCCGCCTCTTTATATATGCCAATATTATAAAGTGTCATCTTTATCAGATATATTTGTAATGAGCACCAACATTTGAAAGTAATGGCAAGAGATGACAAGAGAAGCAATCCAGTTTCACTAGTGGATGAGAGACCACCATATTTTGGTGTGAAGCATGGTGTGGATAGACCAGGTCTGCCACGATATCACAAAGGCCTTCTCCCCAAAACATTCTATCTCTATCAAACATGGCGTATTCATGTGAGGGAAGAGTGAAGGCAAGGATTTGAGTCGATGTGCAAAGGCACTTTCCACAACCTGGAGGACAGGAGGAGACTTGAAGGGGAGGAGTGGTGCTGAGAGCGGATGGGTAACTTCCTAACTAGAAGGAAAATGGCATGAACAGAAGAAGTAGAACCCATTGTTCTAGAGCCCCACCTGCTCCCAGGTGTCAGAAAGTTCTCAGAAAGCTGCTTGGTGGTGACCCATGAGGATAAGAGACTCTTCACTTAGGAGGCAGCACAAGACAGAAACCAGCTTTTCATGGGTTTTCCAGTGAGCTAGGACTCTGTTAACATCTGGCTTTTCTCTTTCAAAGCTATGAGAACTTGTACAAGTTATTTTACTCTTCTTCATCCAAAAAATGGGGAAAATACCTAGCGTTTAGGGTTTGTGAGAAGTAAATATGATAGTATGCGTAGAACATTGGACATACAATTGGTATTCAAAAGATATTGATTTCTTTCTCTTCTTTTTAAAGTTTAAAGAAATTCTTTCTCTACCACATAATTTTGATATACTCTAATAGGGACCAACCATATTTTCCCCTAAATCAGAGGGGAAATTAATTTAGAGTCTGCATTCCTCATGTTTATGTTTTCCATTTCAAAGTTCCCTTTTGTTGCTAACCCAACACATGTCATAAAAGTAATTAAAAGGGAAAAATATGCTCACTTAAAGAGAGAGAAAAACAAAGCTCACAATAAATGTCAGTGAAGGGAAACCTTCTGCTAAGGGGCTTACTTTCTTAGCAGAAAGGAAAAAGAATGATCTA